TTATATTATAATTATATATATTATATTATATTATATTATAGTCGTAATTTTTAACTATCTACAGCAATTCAACTTCATAATTTACCAAACGCTATTATGATGATTTTAAAACCAGCACGGCTACTATAATTATAGTTTATCAAACACTCTGCTACTTTTTGTAATAGTTACGTCTTCCTTTAGAACAACTAAAAGTAATTTTTTCAAAATCTACAGCACTACCAAACTAAGCCAACATCTCTTTTTCAAATACTCCCATCATATAATAATATGGCAAAAATTGAGAAATGTACTGATTTTTTTTTTTGGGAAGGAAAGAAATGTTATGATTTAATTTACCCCCTTAAGTTCATATCTAGGCCAAAGTAAAGACAAATCTTATATAAATCTTCTTATGCTTCACCTATAGAGATTTGGAAGAGAGTTTTCCTTGAGGACCCAAGGGAAAGAAACACGAGAATAACTGTTAGTGTGTGTCGTTTTGTCGTTCGGTAATGCGACGTAGTTATAACGAGTTTTCCTCGAGGACCCGAGTGGGAAGAAACACAAGGAGCCCGTTTGGAATCCATCTCAAAAATGTTTTTCACGTTTTTCAAGGACCAAAAAATGAAAATGGTCTGACAACATTGTTTGGCATTGCGTCGTACAAAAAATAAAAATGAAAACGTTTTCTGACTCTCTCCCAAAAATGCAGATATTCTGAAACGATTTGGGTGTGTTTTCCATTTACCATTTTCGTTTTCCTCGGTCTCAATCTTCTCTTCCCCAGTCTCATTTCCCCATTTTTTCATTTTCACTTTCTTTCCTCTACTCCCCTTCTTTGCCTGTCTCCCTCATCTCATGGCGCCGGTTGTTCTAAGGGCTGGGTTGTCGGTGGAATCGCGCAAGGATTTCTTGGTAGGGTTCTCTCGGCCGATCTCCCTCATCTCGAGTCTCCACCATTCTAAGGGTTAGGTGGTCGGTAGAATCGCACAAGGCAGCCCCCCTGGGGCACCATCTTTTGATGAATATTATATTTTTTTATGATTTTCTTTATTTTTCATCTTTAAAAAATATAATAAAATAAAAATAATATTAAAAAATAATGAAATTTTACAGACACAATCCTTACATTTTTCTAGGCATGTCAGAAAAACATTCCCTCAAAAAATGACAAAAAAAAATAAAACACTGTCAAAAAGCTCTCGGCCCGAGTGGTGAGGCATCGAAGAGCCAGCTCAGGGGCCGGGATGGGTCAAAATTTACATTTTTGATTATTTTTTACAGTTTAAAATTAATAGATGATTCTTAGGAATTAAATCAACAAGTTGGACCATTTTTTGATGAATATTCTATTTTTTATGATTTTCTTTATTTTTCGTCTTCAAAAAATACAATAAAATAAAAATGACATCATAAAATAATGAAATTTTGCAGACACGATCCTTATATTTTTCTACGCGTTGCAGAAAGAAATGACCTAAAAATGACAAAAAAGGAAAACGCTGTCAAAAAGCCTACGGCCCGCGTAGTGGGGCGCCCAGGGGCCAGCTTAAGAGTCGAGATGGGCCAAAAATTTACATTTTCATTTATGCTTTGTATTCTACAATTAATAGGGGATTTTTAGGAATTAATACAACATGCGGGACCATTTTTTGATGAATATTCTATTTTTTACGATCATTTTAATTTTTTGTCTTTAAAAAATATAATAAAATAAAAACAATGTCAAAAAATAAAATAAAAAATTGCAGACATGATCCATACATTTTTCTACGCATGCCAGAAAAAAATTACCTCAAAAAATGACAAAAAAGGTAAAACGCTATTAAAAAGCCCCCGGCCCGCGTAATACGGCGCAGGGGCGAGCTCAGGGCTAGGACGGCTAAAAAATTTAGAATTCTATTTACATTTTGCATTCTAAAATTAATATACGATTTTTAGAAATCAATGCAACAAGCGGAACCCTTTTTTGATGAATCTTTTTTTTATGATTTTCTTTATTTTTCGTATTTAAAAAATATAATAAAATAAAAACAACGTAAATAATAATGAAATTTTACATACACGATCCTTAAATTTTTCTAGGCGTGCCAAAAAAATATTGCCTAAAAAATGACAAAAAAAGCAAAACGGTGTCAAAAAGCCCCTGACCCGCGTAATGGGGCGCCTAGGGGCCAGCTCAGGGGCCGGGATGAGTCAAAAATTTACATTTTTATATATGTTATACATTCTAAAATTAAGATATAATTTTTAGGAATTAAAGCAACAAGCGGAAAATTTTTTTGATGAATATTCTATTTTTTATGATTTTCGGGAGAACCCCGGGAAACCCTCGGGGCACCCCCGGGAGACCCCCGGAAGGTCCCCCGGGACACCCCCAGGGCACCCCAGGGGCCCCCCTGGGGCACTCCCGGGGCACCCCCGGGGCACACCTGGGACACCCCCGAGGCACCCATGGGCACCCCCGGGACACCCCGGCGCACCCCCGGGGCACCCCCAAGACTTATCCAGGGCAACCCCGGGACACCCCAAGGAGACCCCAGGGAGTCCCCCGTGGCATACGCGGGAGACCCCAGGGAGACCACCGGGGCAGCCCCGGGATAGCCACGGGACACCCCCGGGGCATTCTCGGGGCATCCCCGGGACCCCCGGAGCACCCCTGGGCAACGCTCAAGACACCCCCGGAGCAGCCCCAGGACACCCCCGGGGCAGCCCCAGGACACGCCGGCAACAGCCCCGGGACAGCCCCGCGGCACCCCCGGGACACCCCCAAGAGAAACCAAGGAGAACCCCGGAGACCCCCGAAAGATCCCCGGGAAACCCCCGGCAAACCGCCAGGCACCCCCGGGACACCCCCAGGGCACCCCCGGGAATCCTCGGCGCACCCCCAGGAGATTCCCCAGGTACCCCCGGGAGAACCCCGGCTGACCCAGGGGAGAACCCCGTGGCAACCCCAGGGAACCCCGGGGCACCCCCAACACACCCCCGCGCACCACCGGGACACCCCTGGGAGAAGCCTAGGAAACCCCCGGGGCACCCTCGGGAAACCCCCGGGAGACCCCCGGGGCACCCAAGGACTTCCCTGGGCCACCCTCCGGCAAACCCCCGGGGCACACCCGGGACACCCCCGGGGCACTCCCGTGGCACCCCCGGGATACCCCTAGAGAACCCCGGGAGACCCCTGGGACACCCCCGGGTCACCCCGTGGCACCCCCAGGACACCCGCGGGACACCCCCGGGGCA